TACGTTTGGCCCAAACGTACTTCAAATTCGGATTAAACGGGTCGAAATACATTTCTGTAGGTGGGTCCAATTAAAAGTACAGAGAACTTTTTTTTTTGTGTGCTGATGTTATTTTTCTGAATGTTTCTCAATCGATCAATTCAAAAAAATTATGAACAGAATCATAATCGTGAAAAATTATTTTTTTTATGCATGAAGTTCTAATTTTAATAGAGAAAATCATTTATGTTAATAATAATGTAAATTGTTTTTAAAAAAATTTACAAAAAAAGGGCAAAAAGTAAGTTGCCATGCGAGACTTGCAACATGTAACTCTAGTGCTAGAAGTACAGGTGTTACCATATGGCGAATAGGTCTTTGCGTTTGCCGGATGATAAAAAGGTCTATTTAAGCAAGTTCAAATTTTCAATCGTTTTTCCCTATTTGGGGTAGGGGATTAACAAAAAATTCATAGTAAGTGTAACTATTATATTTAATGTAGATTAGATTCACATAACTTTTTCGAAAATCGGTGATCACATCACATGATCTCCCCTTGTGAGTAAAACACGGTGCATTCAATTGTTAATGATAAAATGTCTTTACTTATATTAATAAAATTGAAGTGTTACAAATATTTAATTTCCATAAATAATCATTCCTTATTTTTGTTGTACCCGCTGAACAAAAAATAAATTATTGAAGTAATAATAGTATGACAGTCTATGTTGCTAGTTCTGTATTATTGAAATAATTAATAATTTTTAATTAATCATCTTTTTACAAGATATAGTCGTTAGCGAAGGTGGTGGGGTTAAGGGGTTGTAACCATGATTATTAAAAAAACTGTCTAAAACATAAACAGATTATAACGTTTAAAATGTCCCTTAGACATATATAAATTTTGAAATTTTTAGTGTTCTAAACCAGGATTGGCCAAAATAAGTCCAACTCAAAAAAAACATTTACTTTATAAACAAAGCTTCTACCCCATCTAATAAAATCCTGTGTTTCCCACTGAATTTCGGATACATCAACCTACAAAATTAAAATATTTAAATCTACTATTTCCAATAGATTGATTGACATTCGAAGCAATTCAAAGTATGGCAGAAAAACAAAATGAGAGAAGACCCGAGTAGCAATTCGAGTTCATACCGGGTCCATTTAATATAGTAACAACGGTGTTGAACTCAGTTCAAAACCCGTTCATAGCACGGTTCAAAATGAGATTTGAATACGGATTTTAACATGGGGTGAACTGAGTTCTACAAAAGTTCAGTAAGAGTTCAAAAATCGTTCCTCAGTTCAGCTATAAAACGCTCGATAACAGTTCAATAATCGTTCATTGATTCAATAAAAGCGAGCTCTATGACGGTTTACTAAGCATTGATTAGTTCATTAGCAGTTACGGCAGGCACGTGGACATGGGTGGGCCTGGCCCCCCTTAGATTTAATGTGGCCCAGGGCCGGCCCCCAAATTTAAAATTCAATTATTTTTACGAATTATGAAAAACGTGCTAGGCCTTACATACATTGAAATTATTATTAATTTGTGATTTCTATTGGGTAATACAGTTATTATTATGGCTGTATTTTCATTTTTATATTTATAGAAAACATTATTTGAAAAAGATAACGTTCTAGACGTAATAATAAATGGAATAGTAGTTACTCCAAACATGGTTATAGGTAACTTTTTTTTAAATCTGATAACAAACTACCAAGTATCTGCATTGATTAGAATCTAGTTGATTACAAAATTCGATAGAGTAATACTCTTTAAAAAATTTTTTGATAAATCTTATCTTTAATTTGTTTCTTTTTTTATAATTTAGTAATTACCATAGGTGATTTATTTGTTTTTGTTAATTTGTTATTTGCGTGCTCTAAACAATAGTAATAAAAATATGACTAAAAAAAGGCAGGAATTGTTTTTAATTTAAAATAAAATAAATTTTACATTGTTTGTAATTTATATTTATTTTAAAATTTTTTATAACTTATTTGTTATTAGTATTTAGGTATAAATTATTTTTTCTTAATAGTTAAAAGTTGAAAAATTAAATCAGCTTATGTCATTATTTTATTAGCTTCGATGCGAAGCTGAGAAGGTATTGGTTTTACTATGATGTGTTTTTTTTTTTGTGTCTGTTACCACTTTTTCTCAGCTCTCACCGAACCGATTTCTTTCAAAGATACGTCAAAAGATCACAAATCGTATCTAGTCAAAGACATTACACTCAAAAATTGAAAAAAATTCCCTCGTTCCCCGTAAATGGGGGAAACCCCCCAAAAAATTACAAATTTAAAAATCGCTAATTTTCGAAATATTTTCAATTTTGTTTACTTAAAATTGCCTTAACTTTTTTAAAAATGAACATATCAATATAATTTTTTTTTTATAGATGCTTGATGTCTTTACCTATCATTTGGTATATTATTTTCATAAATTTAACCCTTTACCTGCCCACAGGGAGGGATTTAAAATGATAACTTTTTCACAAAAAATTAACTTTTTCAATAAATCCAAACTAGTTTTTAGATACCGATATCTCATTTCTTATTCTCTTATCTATTACCTTTTCCCAAAATTTTATACTATGACTCATAAGCTTTATGCCTCTATAATTTCCACACTCCTGTATGTCACCTTTACCTTTAAATATCGGCACCACAATACTATTTCTCCATTCATTTAGAATTTTCCTTTCTAATAAGATTTTATTTAAAAGATCCTTCAACCACTTTATGCCAATACCGCCTAATATTTTCTATACTTCTACTGGCACTTTATCTGGTCCTACTGCTTTATTATTTTTCATTGATGCCACAGCCTCCGATACCTCTTTCTCACTAATTAAATCTACCAGTTCCTCATTCCACGAGATAACTTCGCCTTACTTACTGCACACTTGGCTTCTTTGCACAAGCGTTTATACTCCATTTAATCCCCGAGTAGCATTATTTTGGTTCACGGTCGGTTCAAACGACCCATGAGTGCTGGGAGAGTTCAATGTTCAATAATGAACCGTGTATTTTTTTATAAGTTCTAGGAAAGTTCAACGTTCAATAAATAACCAAGCAATTTTTAGTAAGTGCTAAGACCTTCAATGTTCAAAATAATCGTACGGATTCACCAAAGTTCTTTCATTGTAATGAAAGAATCGTTATAACGGTTATAACCGTTCAAATAGTTTTATTCACTTAAACTGTTATTAAACATATTATTCCTTGATTAGTAAATTAATAAAAACATTTTAAAATAATAGTCATAAAATATTTTCATTGAGACTATAGCGCGAATTTAACATACGAACTTTTGGCGGAATAACCCAGACGTGTCAGTAACCGTTGACCAACAATTTTAGTTCGCGTGATTATTTTATGTTATTTAATTATTACTGTGACATTTTTTCAAATCATCAACGATTAATTTACTCTTTTTACAAATTATTTTTTCGAGACATTCGCCATTTTCACAGCGACTAGATAACTTGTCAAGACTGCTCTTTTTCCCTGTTCACTCTCACATATATATTTAACTGAAAAGTTCAATAAAATTTAAGTACATTTAATTTAAATTTAGGAGTAGAATAATAAATAGTACTTTAATTAAATTTAATAATAGCATATATTATTTTTTTTAAAGATAATCATACATTTTAGTAACTACATTTATTGTAATTGTAATAGATACATGTGGTAAATTATATATTAAATTTTCGCATTTTGTATTATGATTAACTATAATTATAATAAAAAATTATTTATTTTAATAAAGTACTATCGTTAGTTATGTTGTTATTACTTTATTAACGACACCTCTAGATTTTCCATGAGCTTAAAATGTTGAACATTTTTAATCATACATCATTTTTGTTATCATTATATCCTTAGCTATTATCCCAACTATTTGAGGTCAACTCTAGCTTATTTTAAATCGCCTTATTTATTTATTTTTATTCAGTGATATAAATTACTTCTGTATTTCAATATTTAAAATGGTGTATTTTATATATTTCTCAACATTGTATACACTGAAATACCATCTCTTAAAAAACTGTTGATTTTTAATGAAAATCCCTCTATTGTGCTACTCAAAAATTTAAATTTATCAAACATTTTAAGTTAAAAAGAATTGCATCTATTTAAATGAGATTTATATTTCAATACTTCAAATTTAAAATAAATGAAAAGTATTAAGTTTAAGGTTTTCACCGTTTAACAATTAACAGGGTTTTACATTAAATAATATTTTCATCCGACTCATTTTTGTAATTATTTGTAACCATTATACAATTAAATCAACAAGATTTTTATACAAATCAACCAATAAAGGGCACATTTTTATCTATTAGGGACAGGCTTACATGTAACCTAAGTAATTTTAAGATATAAATAAAGCTATTCATAGTAATTTCCCTTAAACAAAATACAAATCTATATACCTAGGTTGTCTAAAATACCCAATATCCAAAACACAATTATTTTATAACTTAAAAAATCAAATACTTTTTATGAAATATCATGTCAAGTTTACTTCACTATATCAAATAGTTACAATAAATAAATGTTGATAGATATCATGCTTTTTTAATTTCCAATATTAAAAAAAAAAACCAAGCACAGGGGAGTCGCGGCACAGTGGTGAGGTGCCATAGTTGGATCAAGTATAATGATATCTGACAGTGATTAAAATAACTATAAAAAAAAAAAACGCTTCGATGCAAATCTTTAGATAGTGTTTAATTAAAAAAAATTGGTGGATTATTCCAAAAGCTACATAATCTGCTAGTTCCTTATTAATATTCTGATTAAGATAAAGTATGTTGAATGAAAAAGGGATTATTAAAAAATATTATTTCTCATAAAAAAATTGTGTTGATCCATACACTTTTCAATAAGTTATAGCATTATAAAGTTAAAAATGTAAAAAATAAAATCGAGAATTTACACACAAAAATAAAATTTGGTCGCCGTTTTCATTGTGAAGACAAAATAAAGTTCGAAAATTTTATTTTTTATAGTAAAGTATATTACATTAGCATTAATTTATGATGTCACACTTTCCGGAACACTTTCAAAAGTTAAGTTGGGAAAGTAAATTTTTTATGAAAAAGTTATCATTTTGAATCCTCCCCTGTTAGCAGGTAAACGGTCAGATTTATAAAAAAATATATCAAATTAAAGGTAATGATATCATGCATCTATATAAAAAAAATTATATTAATTTGGTTATTTTTAAAAACGTTATGGCAATTTTAAGAAAAAAAATTTCGAAAATTAGCGATTTCTAAATTTGTAATTTTTTTGGAGGTTCCCCCATTTACGGGGAATGAGGGAAATTTTTCAATTTTTGAGGGTAATGTCTTCGACTAGATACGATTTGTGATCTTTTGGCGTATCGTTGAAAGAAATCGGTTCGGTAAGATCTGAGAAAAAGTGGTAACAGACACACAAAAAAAAAAAACACATCATAATAAAACCAATATCTTCTCAGCTTCGCATCGAATATAATATAAATTTTATGCTTGGAAGACCTCTTTAGGTTTTCCATAAATCGGGCGGCAGAATTGTTAAATGCGATTTATTGGCAAACCCGTTCTAAGATATTGTGAGATTCTGATCAAAAAATTAAATAAAATACATCATCACGGGCGTAGCTTCAAAAATCTGTGGGTCTATAGTCTCATATTCCATTTTATAAATATGAATAAAATACCTGAATAGAAACTTCCCCACCTCATTGTTTTATCTCTTCTTTCACTCAAAAAGGAATTTAACTTATTTGAGGTTCTACAAATAATTTATATAAGAACTGAAGCTCGCACAACCGGCAATTGATACAATGTGTATAATAAGCATTATTAAGCAGGTCCAAGAGGGCATAGATTGGATTTAGATCTATGGTTCATTATGAATCCACCTTGTTGATAATTTTATCTCTTATCATTTTACCAAAAAGTCGTTTAATTTGAACTTTAATATTTTTTTAAATTTATCTTTATGACTTAAGTTTTAATTAAATTGTTTTTTCCAATTAACCAAACTTTTATAAAACTATCTATGTGAATATATATATGTAATTTTGATATGGGTGTGAAAAATCTTTGGTCAACTTTATCTCCTGTATCAGAAAAAATACCTCTTTGGGAACTACAAGGAAAAATAGTAGCAATCGACCTAAGTGGTTGGGTATGTGACAGCGAAAATTTTAGCCATCAAAGTAATCAGAAAAATATGTATCTTAGGTAATTAACTACATGATTAAATCATATTGTTTAAATTTTGTCACATTAGTTTTAAAACCATTAATTTTTTATTTATAGAAACCTATTTTTCCGTACTAGTAGTTTATTATTAGTTGGTGCTACTCCTGTATTTATTTTTGATGGAGTTGCACCAGAATTAAAATACAATGTTATGAATAAACGCTTAAATGACAAAAAAAATGTTCCTAAAAAAAATATGATTCGAAGCAGACTAAATTCTTTACAAAAACAAGTATGATTATTTTAAAATAAATCTCTTATACCTGTTAAGCTCAGATAAGAAATATTTCGGTATAACTATTATCAAATTTATCAAAGTGTCTTATGCTATTGAAGTTTCATCACAAAAGAAATGAGGATAGAATAGTTGGGAACACATCATGTCTTGGTATCCTGTATCGTTGTTTGATTCTGTTTTATTGAGTTTTAGAGGCCAACCTCTCTTATACAAGTAGTAGCATATAATAAAAGACGTTAAATATAGATTAAAATACAAGAAGAGAAATTAGAAGTGTTGTGCAATATCTTTTCATTAAACTGATCCCATTATAAGATTCAATTTTAAATTTCACTTCTATGTTTGTTTCAGTGTGAGTTATTATTTAAAATTATGGGAGTCACTAGTATTTACAGTCCAGGTGAAGCTGAGAAATTGTGTGCTGTGCTTAATAAGAATGGAGTAATGTATAGTTTTCAAAATTAATTTTTCACATAAAATATTTTTTTAATAAATCAATCTATAACACTGGCTTACAATAAACAAAAAAAATTATACCACTACGCTTAAAATAATAATAATATATAATATTAGTCAACTAATAAAAAATAATCAACATATAATTAACACAAGTAGAAGATGTTTAATCAATATTTAATTTAGGTAAAATTTTTTTATTGATGTAATTTAAATTAAATGTAAGGAATCATTTTTTACCCCTTTCTATGTATTGTACTTAGTTTATCTCAAAATTTAAAGCAAATATGACAAATTTTTAAATTCAGCATAAAATCAGCGACATAGTATTTTTAGAATTGATTAAGGATTATAAAGAACTTTTATTTTTATATTTTAAAAATTATTTATTATAATTTCCTTAATATTAATCAAATAATTATATCATAACTGTTTTGAATAAGAATTATTTTTAAAATTTTATCATAGATTGTAAATGGAGTTATTACACAAGATAGTGATTGTTTTCTTTATGGTGCTCGTATTGTATACAGAAATTTTGTTGCAACTGGATCAGGCTCTATTGATGTTTACCAAATGGAAGTTATTGAAGATAAACTAAAAATGGGTAGAAATAAAATGATTGCTATGTCATTACTTTGTGGTTGTGATTATGATGACAAAGGAGTAAATGGTGTGGGTAAAGAAACTGCTTTTAAATTTCTCCAACCATTAGAAGATTCTTTAGTTTTAGATCGGTAATTTAAATAAAATTTTATAGATAAATAATATCAGCTGTGTAGTTAGTAACAACTAGTGTTATTAAGTAAAAATAGATAAATAATTATAAATAAAGAATGTGATTCTGTTTTTAAGATTAAGGTACTGGCGTAATGATATTGTATTAAATGCAGTTGAAAGAGATATCAAATCTCAGTCAGATGATATAAAACTAGAAATTAAAATTAGAAGCAAGGCTTTGAAAAATGAAAACTTTCCCTCTGAAGATGTAATTGAAGAATTTTTAAATACTCCTCGATGTCCTGATGTTGATCCCAAATGGGTTTTACCAGATATTAACACATTTATTGTAAGATCTAAATTGAAGTGTTGCAAAAACATAGTGAATATAATATTTTTAGTAATGGAAAATTGAATAATCTACAGTGTAGCTTTTTTTTATTTTTAAGTAGAATTTATATGTTATATTACATTGCTATTAAAATATATAATTGTAAAATCTAAATAGTTAAAACTTTTGTTTTAAATAGACTTTTGCTGCAACTAAACTTTGTTGGGATGAAGATTATGCCATTGGTAAATTTTTACCCTTACTTACAAGGTGGCATTTACTAAATGATGATAATAATCAATCAGGAGTAATAATATCTGAGATAATTAAAAAAAGGATAAATAAAGGGATAAGTTGTTTTGAAATTAAATGGAAAAATTATGAACTTACTACTATTGAACCACAAGAGGTTGTAAAAATACGATACCCAAATGAAGTATTAGCTTATGTTGAAAGCAACACTAAACCTACAAAACAAACTAGGAAAAAAAGTAAAACTCTTAAATATTTGCTCAAAGCACTTAATTTACATACTATTTCATGTTTAGATAACATTGAAGATGGAGCTAGTTGCAGTGAACTTACTAGTAAAATATTTTCACTAAATATTTCTACCAAAAATAAAAATTCAAAAGGTCCACTAGATCAATTCATAATAAAAAATATGAGTGAAAATGATACACTGACATTATCAGATTTTGAAAATGATTCAACTGACTTAGATCTTTCTGAAATTATTAATAAAATAACCTTGTAATATTTTTATGGATATTCTTTATACTTGTTGAAGTTTTTAACTGTATTTTATGGTTATTAAATTTTTTAATTAATTAATTATATTTCATTTTTTTCTTTATTATTATGATTTATTAATAACACATTTTATAGTATTTAGTTATTATGGACAAATAAAATATATTACTATTTGCATATATTAAATATAAATATATTAATATTGCACCACCATACAGTACCTATTCACACTTCATTGGTTGTTGTGAATTTTTGGCTGTAACGATGCCTCAGTCTCCATATTCGCCAAACATGGCTCCGTGTGACTTTTCTATTTCCAAAAATAAAGAGAGCCTTAAAGAGCCGTTGTTTTACAAACATAGATGACATTAAAAGCGCATCGTTGAATGAGCTGAAGGTTATCCCAAAGATCGAGTTTAAGAAGTGTATGGAAACGTAAGTGTACACTTACGTTTCCGTCCCTCGCTCCTGCGACAGTTCAGCGTATGCTGCGTTGCGCCGCCCACGCTTGTAGTGTCAACGGTGTAAGGACATCACCACTCAACTCTAGACTGGAGTCGTGTATAAGAGAAAAAGATAGATACAAAATATGAATAAGTACGTGGTAGTTCGGAATGTTAACTTGTAGAAGTTGAGAATTAATAATTATAATATTCTTTATTATGGAAAAAAATATTCCAATTCCAATTATAATTATAATATATAAATAATTATTTATAATATAACAGTATTTCTTATATAATCTAAAATAAAAAATTTTAATAATCAGGTTTAATAAATTTAACGATTTAATTTAAACTAATATAATAAGATTAATAATGAAATAACGCATTCTCAATAAGGGAAGAAAAATTAATTAGTAGAAGTATTAAAGAAGAGAAAAGTTAATATTTGTTGTGTGCAGGAAACTAAGTGGAACGGAGAGAAAGCAAGGAAAATAGGTGAGGGATATAAAATAATATGCTCAGGTAAGTCTAATACAAAGAATGGTGTAGGGATAATAATGGATAAGGAGATGAAAAGTAAAGTAGTAGAAGTAGCTAAGAAAAGTGACAGAATTATAGTCATAAAATTAATTTTCGAGGAAAAAGTGTTTACATAGACTGATGGTAATGGAGTTGTGGTGTAGTGGGAAGAGAATATACAAAAACAGAAAGAACACAGGAGATAAATCGAGGATCCGATAGTGGAAATTGATAGGGGAAAATGAAAAAGAGTTTTTAAACACGGTAAATGAGAGGATGGTGTGGAATGTCGAAGTAGACTATAATTATAAGAATGTAAGGTGTATAAAAAAAGATGATAAGAGGGTGGGCTAACGAGCGATGATGATATAAAAAAGCCCAGCACAGGTGACATGGCATAGTTGGATCAAGTATAATGATATCTGACAGTAATTAAAATCACTATAAAAAAAAGACATTGTTGGCGAGAGTTGGAGTAGAATGCCAAGAAACTAGGTGGTCGGATGAGGTCGTTAAAAAAATCATAGAAAGTAAGAAAAAGCAATTCAAAGTATGACAGAAGTGGTAAAGGAGAAAAGTTTGGATGGAGTATAAACGCTTGTGCAAAGAAGCCAAGTGTGCAGTAGGTAAGGCAAAGTTTAAGAGGTATGATGAGTTGTATGATAGGCTAGGAACAAAGAAAGACGAGAAAGAAATGTATAGACTTGTATAAGTAAGTGATAAAAGGACTAAAGATTATCTTTATATAAGGTATACTAAAGAAATACAAGGAGAGGTACCTTGGTGCATGTTGTTTGCTGACGATATAGTGTTAGTAAGAGAAAATAGGGAGGAAATTAATCAAAGACTAAAGTAAGACAAAGTATATAAAGTACGAGTTTGACAAAGGAGAATACGATGTAGGTGAAATAAGGAGACCATTAACAATAGGCGAGGCCGTGATTGGAGAGGTAGAAAGTTTTAAGTATTTAGGAGCAGTTGTGCAAAAGAGCGGTGGTATTGACGAGGATGTAAGACACAGGATTAAGTAAGTGCAGGTAATTGAAGTGGAGAGAAGCGTCTGGCGTCTTATGCGATAAAAGAATTCCAATTAGGCTGAAAGGTAAATTCTACAAGACTGTAGTAAGACCAGCTAAGATGTATGGTTCAGAGTGTAGGGCAGTTAATAAGAAAGTAGAACAGAGAATGAGTGTAGCAGAGATGAGAATGCTTAGATGGATGAGTGGAGTGACTAGAGATGATAGGAAAAGGAACGAACATATAAGAGGGAGTATAGGTGTAGTGTCAATCGTAAATAAGATGAGAGAAAATAGACTTAGATGGTTTAGTCATGTTATGAGAAGAGAAGAATCGGAAGCTGTAAGAACAGTTATAGATATGAATGTTGAAGGAAGAAGAGGTAGAGGAAGACCAAAAATGAGGGATGTAATTGAATGCGATATGAGGATGGCTGATGTAAGCGTAGAAGATGTGGGAGATCGTATTAAGTGGAGTTTAGGATAAGGGTGGCAACATCAAAGTAGTTAGGATTAAGGCGAGAAAAAAGAAGACGAAAATTATATTTCTAGTAATCTACACTTCATTAATCAAAAAATACATTTTTATTGTTTTCTTTTAATTCAATTTTTTTTCAATTTATCTTTCATAAGGTTTTTTTATGTTCATTCCTTATACTTTATTAGGGTGACAACTTTAATTTTTAAAATAGAAACACGCATAGTTAACTAATTTATTCATTATCGGATTAATAAAATAACTGGACAATAACAACTTTTGGACTATTCATTCAGAAGTTATTAACAATTTAAAGTAAAAATGGAAGTGAGGAGTGGGTGCTGCTATTTTTATAACTATAAATTTCCCAGTTGTAGTTTGCTGCCACCTATTTATAAACATGTCAATAATTCCCGAAATACATATCTAAAGGTTGGTAATTTTCATTAACTATAACTAGTTAATTATTACCACTTGAAATTTTTATTTATTTTTCAATTAATAAAGTGTTTTGTAATAAGTGAATTACCTATTTAGCCTGCTTATTAAATTAATCAGTAATATAATTGTTTTACCATTAATTTATTAGTTGATTAGCTAAACAAGCTTCTTTAAACCTTTCAGTACTGACACTAAAAAAAATGAATATAATCCATTTTGTTTTTCATAGGCTATTTAATTATGAAGCAAATAAGTACTAAAATTTTTTTTTTGAAACCCTATTCCCCCCTTTTTTGACCGGTACTTATTTGTCCCGTTTTCATTTTTATTTGAAATACTTATTGCAAGTGGACCTTAGATGTCCCGACCGGACGGTTGATACAATAATAGTAACCATTTACTTTATATAAGCAATTTTCGAGCTGGGACTCAGACGTCCTGCCCATCCTGAAAGGGTTAAAAACAGCAATTGCTCTAAAAGGTTATAAAAAAAAATAACAATATAAAATATAATGATGTATAAATGTGTACTTTATTATACATTTTACATATATACATGTTAGATACACTTCATTTTATTTTAATTATTAAAAATAAAATAAACAATTATTTAATGCTGCTAGGCTTATGTTCAAATGGACAATCAAAGTTTATAATTAAATATAGATGTGATTAAAGATTTATTAATATATCTGTACTTAATTATTAAATCATGATGTTCAAGTTTCCCAAATCATACAAACAATATAAATGAAAACAATAAATTTATAAGAATATTAAATTAAAATAACATTAAGAAAATTTAATTTATCAAAATTTCACTATTTAATTTCTTCAACTGATCAGTATATTTTATGTAATATGACATGTATTGTCTTATTAAAAAATAATTACCATAATAAAATAATTCATTAATAAAAGTCATGTTTATTACATAATAAAGTAAATTATGTTAAATAGATAGGTAAGGCTGATATTATGATAATAGTTCCTAGAAAAATACAATAGTAATTTAAACATATAAACTTCAACCAAGTAACCAGTATTAAACATAAAATGGAAAATTATAATATTTTACAGTTACTTTGGCCACAGTAACATAAAATTGTTCAAATTTCAAATTTACTTTTATAAAAAGAAAATAATAAATTTGTTCTATTATTATAGATATTATTTTTAATATCCATTAATTACTTATCTTTTTCACTTAATTACATAATTATTAAGTAGAAAATAAATATACTGAAATTCATAACATTTCATTTTTCAAAAAATACAAAATTTAGTAAAAAGAACTTAAAATTTGTATTAATTTGCAGATAAAATAAATAGTTTACAATTTATAATGAATTAACATTTTTATATACATAATATATTTTTATCCATAAAATGTATAGATATAAAAAAAAACACAGGAAAAAAATTATAAGGTATCATCTTTTTTTCTTTGAAAATTTTGTTTAACATAATTTTTAAATACTTTATCCAATAAAATAACATTTTACAACTTAGTTTACGTAAAATTTGTCAACATTTTCACTATTTTTTAAATAACAAGAAAAAAAAAATCAATTCTGAAAGATTACTTAAATGGTTTATTTTACATTATTTTATCTATATATTATTATTTTAGGCAATACATTTAACTAACATACTGTGCATTCAGTCTGTAGCATTAATGTACTATATTTATTAAAAGCAAATAGTCAAATTTACATTTCTTAACTAAAATAAAAATATTGTAGAAATAGTTAAATCATTACACAACTAAATAGTAAAACATTATTAATATGTGTAAAATGTAACTAAAACTAATAACTTAAACTAACATAGAGCTTAAATATTGTGTATGTTTTTTGTTATTTAAACAAACAAATTTTTAGGCTAACAACAAAATAATAAATCTAAAGTATAGTTTTCTTGAAGAAAAAGTTTTAAATTAATTAATCAAGACGATAGTTATTCTTACTTCATGTGTTCACTAAGTTATTTTAATTATGTATTCATTTAAATCAAGTTTAAGTTAATTTATTTATGGTATTAAAAAAAATAGATCTTCAATAATAAATAAAGAACTGTAAATCTTATATAATCATTTAATTTTAAAAGATTGAAATATTAAATATGATCTTAAATAATTAAAAACAATAAAAATATAAATCAAACTAATAATAATGTACATGAACACAAGAAATAAGAGATTCAAATTTCAATTACTTAAACAATTTAAATTAATATTTTGAATTATTAAAACTCAATATTTTAACAGCCAAAATAAGTGATTTTCACAAAATGTTATCTTTTTGAATACCTAGAAAAATAAAAATTTTAATTACTTTTTTATGTTTTCTTCAAATATATAAGACATACAACAATTCTATTATAAGGAAGAGGATTGAAGAGCACTGAAGATAATTATTACTTATTAATGAGGAAAAATAGTTTGATATAAATAATTATTTTTTTTTTTTATAGGAATGTATGACATGACCAGAGCTGTGCTAAGGGGAACATTGAAAGATTGAAAGTGAACATTGAAAGTGCCCTAGGCTACTATACATTTGAGGAGAGAAATAAAATAAGAATACATTTTTTTTAATATAATATGTATTTTGTTTAAAAATACATTACATANACATTTTTTTTAATATAATATGTATTTTGTTTAAAAATACATTACATAGGGATGCCAATGATAATTAGCATGATGCTGATTATGACTTATAGTTTTCAATTTACTATTCAAGTAAAAAACTTACTATTATTTATAAATGCAATCATCTATTTGCTGTGAATCATGATCACGTTGACCTTGTTGGTCAACTTTAACTTCAACAATGTCAGTAGGAATGTTATTTTCATATTTTTCTACAGTATATTCAGTACTATAAATACACTCTTCAATTTGTGTTTGGTTAGTAATAGGTTCTAATTCTTGAGATGGAGGAGTAACTGTTTGTGCAGCTGATGCATCATTTTGCTGCCTAGCATATTTTTCATGAATATTTCTATGTCTTTTCAATGCAAATCTATCACTAAAACCAACTCCACAAATATCGCAACGATGTGGCTTTTCACCAGTATGTACTTTAGCGTGATTTTTTAAATGGGTTGCTTGATTAAAAGCTGATCCACATATATCACACCTATATGGTTTTTCTCCAGTATGAATTCGTCTGTGATTCCATAAAGTAGAATGTCGAGCAAATGTTTTATCACAAACTTCACATTGATATGGCCTTTCTCCACTATGTATTCTTTCGTGATTTTTAAGATGAGGAGACTGTGAAAATTGCATTCCACAAACTCCACATTTAAATGGTTTTTCACCAGTGTGTACACGGCCATGATTTTTTAAATAAGCAGCTTTAGCAAATGACAGTCCACAAATTTCACATTTGTAAGGTTTATCACCAGTGTGTAAACGTTTATGACTCCATAAAGAAGAATACCTAGAAAAACTTCCTCCACAAATATTACAATGAAATGGTTTGTTTGGAACATTAGGATTTGTAATAGTATCATTTTTCATAGTTACATTAGTCTGGTTACCATTAACTAAAAATATTATACCAGAACCATTACACTTATAACATTTGGTAACTGTAGCCATTCCTCGTTTTTTTACTGGGTAATAACCTTTCATAATAGCAGTTTGTTCAGGTGATAGATTTGTATCATTAGTTTCAATTTCACCTTCTTGTGGCACATAATTATTAGAACAATTTCCACCTCCACTACAATTTACACATTTAATAAATCTTGATTTTTTTCCTTTAGTAGTTTGCGATGTAACTTCAGCACCACAAGAAAAACACTGTTTGTGAACTGTTGATCTATGAACTTTCATATCTCTTACTTGGGGAAAACAAGATCCACATGTTGTACAAGTGAATGATGGTGGATCTTGTGGATGTACAGTCTTTTTATGATGATCTAACATTGACACATGTGAAAAACTGGCACCACATATGTCACATTTAAAAACAGTCCCAGCTGTTGAGAGAGACATTTGGTTAACCAAAGCATAATTATAATTAAATGGGGTAGTCACATCAAAACGATATGATGTTTTATCAGTTTGAGTAACACCATTGGTAGATGCAGTAGCAAGAACAGCAATATTGCCCGTTACTGGAACTTTTTGAACCATATTTACATTGTAAAAAGGGAAATCAACTGAAGATGCTTTATCATCTTTTTTTACTATTGTAGCATATAACGGTCCAGTTACTGGATTTGGTTCTTGACGAATACCCGGATCATACATTATACTTCTTAAAGCTTCGTATTTATTGTCAACCATACAGGTAAAATCTGTAACTCTAATATTTAAAATTCAATATTTGTTAAATTTTTATACAATCACACAAAACATATGAAAAAAAAGTTAGTATTACTAACTAAATAAAAAAAAATCTCTATCTTACATAAAAAAGATCAAAGTTTTATGAAAACTGGCCACTTTAATTTATTTATGAATGTACCTTAAAATTAAACTAGTTTTTATTAAAGCTTGAAAATGAATAAATTAACTAAACATAAAGAGTTATGTTAACTTAAAAGGATTATAAATATAATATACTAAGTCATATTGTTTTTATTTGTAGTATCTAAAGATATCAAATGTAATCATTTATTGAAATTGTATAATAACATAATACAATTATTAATTAAATTATGATAAAATATTATATATGCATGATTTAAACAAAAAAGAGTAATTTCAACTACCATAAATTAATTAATTAATTGATTTAATTAATATAAAAATAAAAAATTTCAAAAATATAAATAACCTTTACGAATTGATAACTTCACGAATTTCCTATTTTTTAATTGGCCATTTAAACCTCAATAATTGGATAACTGAAAACAATTTTTGTCTAGAAAATAAAGTATATTATGTATATAACTATTAGTAATAAATAACAACATACATTTATCAGTATACTAACAAAATATCTTTGAAAATACAATAATGTATTCAACTTTATAGCTCATATTAGCTTCACTTGAAATAAAAATGATTATTTTTAATAACTTAAAAAAATAATAATAATTAAAAACATAAAATGTCACTAGTTGAAATAAATATTATCAATAATAAATAAAAATTAACTAAAAAGTTCACATGTAAAAAAACTGACAATAATAATCGTAAAACAAATTTAATACTCCAGATTTTTTTCAGAACATATTTAAAATTTAGAGTTTCACATGAGTACCAAATTTTTCGTAACTTTAAAAAATAAACAAAAAAAACAAGTGGAATTCAAGATCAACATTTTTTGACAAATTTGTTTTGGTGTGATACGGCATGGAAGAAAATAATAGTCATGGGAAAAAACTGGATATCTAATACTCGTTTAAGCCGCCAATATTCAAATAAAAACAATTTTTGACATTAGGGTATATAACTAAGAATATAAACAGGAATAAACATAATACTCAAAATTTAATATTTAAAATGTAAAATAATTTTAGTGTTTTTTATTTCTTATAAATTAATTAAGATTAAAGTCATAAGTAGTATTTATTTCAAATATACAAATCATAAATATTGAAGACTTTTAAATTTTTATTTTATTAAAAAAATGTATTATACGTTCCAATTTCAATTATTATATGAAAATATATCGCTTACTCCAAGTAAATAAGGACGACGTAAAATAAAGGAGATAAAAGGCTTATTATTCTATCTATCATCAAGGACAATCTTAATTTCTAGGGGGTTCAGATTGAATTTTAACGACTAAAGTACCTTCATGAGCGTTTTTTTTTATAGTGATTTTAATTACTGTCAGATATCATTATACTTGATCCAACTATGCCATGTCACCTGTGCTGGGCTTTTTTATATCATCATCGCTCGTTAGCCCACCCTCTTATCATCTTTTTTTATACACCTTACATTCTTATAATTATAGTCTACTTCGACATTCCACACCATCCTCTCATTTACCGTGTTTAAAAACTCTTTTTCATTTTCCCCTATCAATTTCCACTATCGGATCCTCGATTTATCTCCTGTGTTCTTTCTGTTTTTGTATATTCTCTTCCCACTACACCACAACTCCATTACCATCAGTCTATGTAAACACTTTTTCCTCGAAAATTAATTTTATGACTATAATTCTGTCACTTTTCTTAGCTACTTCTACTACTTTACTTTTCATCTCCTTATCCATTATTATCCCTACACCATTCTTTGTATTAGACTTACCTGAGCATATTATTTTATATCCCTCACCTATTTTCCTTGCTTTCTCTCCGTTCCACTTAGTTTCCTGCACACAACAAATATTAACTTTTCTCTTCTTTAATACTTCTACTAATTAATTTTTCTTCCCTTATTGAGAATGCGTTATTTCATTATTAATCTTATTATATTAGTTTAAATTAAATCGTTAAATTTATTAAACCTGATTATTAAAATTTTTTATTTTAGATTATATAAGAAATACTGTTATATTATAAATAATTATTTATATATTATAATTATAATTGGAATTGGAATATTTTTTTCCATAATAAAGAATATTATAATTATTAATTCTCAACTTCTACAAGTTAACATTCCGAACTACCACGTACTTATTCATATTTTGTATCTATCTTTTTCTCTTATACACGACTCCAGTCTAGAGTTGAGTGGTGATGTCCTTACACCGTTGACACTACAAGCGTGGGCGGCGCAACGCAGCATACGCTGAACTGTCGCAGGAGCGAGGGACGGAAACGTAAGTGTACACTTACGTTTCCATACACTTCTTAAACTCGATCTTTGGGATAACCTTCAGCTCATTCAACGATGCGCTTTTAATGTCATCTATGTTTGTAAAACAACGGCTCTTTAAGGCTCTCTTTATTTTTGGAAATAGAAAAGTCACACGGAGCCATGTTTGGCGAATATGGAGACTGAGGCATCGTTACAGCCAAAAATTCACAACAACCAATGAAGTGTGAATAGGTACTGTATGGTGGTGCAATATTAATATATTTATATTTAATATATGCAAATAGTAATATATTTTATTTGTCCATAAAAACTAAATACTATAAAATGTGTTATTAATAAATCATAATAATAAAGAAAAAAATGAAATATAATTAATTAATTAAAAAATTTAATAACCATAAAATACAGTTAAAAACTTCAACAAGTATAAAGAATATCCATAAAAATATTACAAGGTTATTTTATTAATAATTTCAGAAAGATCTAAGTCAGTTGAATCATTTTCAAAATCTGATAATGTCAGTGTATCATTTTCACTCATATTTTTTATTATGAATTGATCTAGTGGACCTTTTGAATTTTTATTTTTGGTAGAAATATTTAGTGAAAATATTTTACTAGTAAGTTCACTGCAACTAGCTCCATCTTCAATGTTATCTAAACATGAAATAGTATGTAAATTAAGTGCTTTGAGCAAATATTTAAGAGTTTTACTTTTTTTCCTAGTTTGTTTTGTAGGTTTAGTGTTGCTTTCAACATAAGCTAATACTTCATTTGGGTATCGTATTTTTACAACCTCTTGTGGTTCAATAGTAGTAAGTTCATAATTTTTCCATTTAATTTCAAAACAACTTATCCCTTTATTTATCCTTTTTTTAATTATCTCAGATATTATTACTCCTGATTGATTATTATCATCATTTAGTAAATGCCACCTTGTAAGTAAGGGTAAAAATTTACCAATGGCATAATCTTCATCCCAACAAAGTTTAGTTGCAGCAAAAGTCTATTTAAAACAAAAGTTTTAACTATTTAGATTTTACAATTATATATTTTAATAGCAATGTAATATAACATATAAATTCTACTTAAAAATAAAAAAAAGCTACACTGTAGATTATTCAATTTTCCATTACTAAAAATATTATATTCACTATGTTTTTGCAACACTTCAATTTAGATCTTACAATAAATGTGTTAATATCTGGTAAAACCCATTTGGGATCAACATCAGGACATCGAGGAGTATTTAAAAATTCTTCAATTACATCTTCAGAGGGAAAGTTTTCATTTTTCAAAGCCTTGCTTCTAATTTTAATTTCTAGTTTTATATCATCTGACTGAGATTTGATATCTCTTTCAACTGCATTTAATACAATATCATTACGCCAGTACCTTAATCTTAAAAACAGAATCACATTCTTTATTTATAATTATTTATCTATTTTTACTTAATAACACTAGTTGTTACTAACTACACAGCTGATATTATTTATCTATAAAATTTTATTTAAATTACCGATCTAAAACTAAAGAATCTTCTAATGGTTGGAGAAATTTAAAAGCAGTTTCTTTACCCACACCATTTACTCCTTTGTCATCATAATCACAACCACAAAGTAATGACATAGCAATCATTTTATTTCTACCCATTTTTAGTTTATCTTCAATAACTTCCATTTGGTAAACATCAATAGAGCCTGATCCAGTTGCAACAAAATTTCTGTATACAATACGAGCACCATAAAGAAAACAATCACTATCTTGTGTAATAACTCCATTTACAATCTATGATAAAATTTTAAAAATAATTCTTATTCAAAACAGTTATGATATAATTATTTGATTAATATTAAGGAAATTATAATAAATAATTTTTAAAATATAAAAATAAAAGTTCTTTATAATCCTTAATCAATTCTAAAAATACTATGTCGCTGATTTTATGCTGAATTTAAAAATTTGTCATATTTGCTTTAAATTTTGAGATAAACTAAGTACAATACATAGAAAGGGGTAAAAAATGATTCCTTACATTTAATTTAAATTACATCAATAAAAAAATTTTACCTAAATTAAATATTGATTAAACATCTTCTACTTGTGTTAATTATATGTTGATTATTTTTTATTAGTTGACTAATATTATATATTATTATTATTTTAAGCGTAGTGGTATAATTTTTTTTGTTTATTGTAAGCCAGTGTTATAGATTGATTTATTAAAAAAATATTTTATGTGAAAAATTAATTTTGAAAACTATACATTACTCCATTCTTATTAAGCACAGCACACAATTTCTCAGCTTCACCTGGACTGTAAATACTAGTGACTCCCATAATTTTAAATAATAACTCACACTGAAACAAACATAGAAGTGAAATTTAAAATTGAATCTTATAATGGGATCAGTTTAATGAAAAGATATTGCACAACACTTCTAATTTCTCTTCTTGTATTTTAATCTATATTTAACGTCTTTTATTATATGCTACTACTTGTATAAGAGAGGTTGGCCTCTAAAACTCAATAAAACAGAATCAAACAACGATACAGGATACCAAGACATGATGTGTTCCCAACTATTCTATCCTCATTTCTTTTGTGATGAAACTTCAATAGCATAAGACACTTTGATAAATTTGATAATAGTTATACCGAAATATTTCTTATCTGAGCTTAACAGGTATAAGAGATTTATTTTAAAATAATCATACTTGTTTTTGTAAAGAATTTAGTCTGCTTCGAATCATATTTTTTTTAGGAACATTTTTTTTGTCATTTAAGCGTTTATTCATAACATTGTATTTTAATTCTGGTGCAACTCCATCAAAAATAAATACAGGAGTAGCACCAACTAATAATAAACTACTAGTACGGAAAAATAGGTTTCTATAAATAAAAAATTAATGGTTTTAAAACTAATGTGACAAAATTTAAACAATATGATTTAATCATGTAGTTAATTACCTAAGATACATATTTTTCTGATTACTTTGATGGCTAAAATTTTCGCTGTCACATACCCAACCACTTAGGTCGATTGCTACTATTTTTCTTCACGTTCGATCGCACTTTTTAACGGTACTGGCGATCCAAAATGCCTCCACTTGGACGACTGAGCCTTAGTTTCGACGTCGTATCCATAAACCCATGTTTTGTTACCTGTTATAAAGCGTTTCAGTAATTCTGCATCGTTGTTGACTTCTGAGTGCAGGCACGTAGCCAGAAAATGTTTATTGGAGGGGCCAACAATTTTGGGCCCCTGTATCATTTTCCATAATTTGTTTCCCATGAAAAGCTTGAGGGGGGTCCCTCCACTCCTCCTTAGTAAGTATCCTATTCTATGAATTTNCACTCCTCCTTAGTAAGTATCCTATTCTATGAATTTTACAAGTTCAATATTTGTGTTTATTTTTAAAAAATTGGTGGATTAATCCAAAAGTTACATGATCTGCTATTTCCTTATTAATATCCTGATTAAAATAAAGAAT